TCTATTTTCCTTAGTTAAGTGAAAACATTTTGCTGTTAGATATGCTTTAGTGTTATTCATGGTACTATGCTCATTGAATCTGAGCTATTGGTAGCTAAATCTCATAATGTAGTATGGGATGTTTGCCAATACTGTTTTTCCTTTCTAAATGTTGAAGGTGGTTACTTAAATGTGGTTCTCAAGGCATAGTTCAATATTATGTCAGTATGTGCATCCACTTGGGACCTACTTTGAGATATAACATATATTCCTAACCTGCCCCTGACTTTTTCCTGATGAGCTTTGATAACTAAAGGAATGTCTCAATCTCCCAGTCAGAAAGATCTGGTTAATTTCAGCTGTAATTGCAAGAAGCAGAGTTTTTGACAGTAACTTTAGAAAGTCTAACCTCATTTATATAAAAACTAGCCATATTATTAATTTATTTGATGGTCTGAGGGTTAAATATTAAGCATTAAAATTCTGATTCTACCGTTTAACAGCTGTGTCATCATGAACAATCACTTATCTTCCCTGTGCCTTACTTTCCTCACTTGTAAACTCAAGCTATGAATTCCTAGATTGTAATGTTGTTACAAGAAATAAAATTACTAATGTACCTCAAGTGTTCTGAACAGTATGTTTCAACCATTACTTTTATTTTTCCATTTAGGTTGGTTTTTAGCTCAGGTTTTTTTTTACCTAATTTTCAGATGAACTAATTTTCATGTTAGTGAGAATTTGAACATTGCTGTTAACTTATGCAAAATGTGAACAATCTTCAAATCTACTAGCGATATTTAAAAATAATCATTGTTTGGATTCACATCATATTGTACATCAGAACCTATGTACTGGCAGTGATCATGTAAGAAAGATCTGTATTCTTAGAGCTAACCAAAATTGAAGAATAATTTCTATTCACGCTATAATAATTTTATGTGTAGATAGGAATATTTCCTGGAAACATACCCATCACAATAACGCAACAGTGACAGAAAATATCACATGCATAATGTGAAAAAAATACCTAGGAATAACAGCTTGTCTTTATATTTAGCAGCATGTTGATTTGTACAGGTAACATTCAGCTTCTGATTGTGTGGGAGGGCAGATGGCTTTGTCCCTGGAGTCTGAGAGAGGCAGGATTGCTCTAAACATGCTCCAGCCAAAAGGGTGGACAGCTTAATGTAGTCTGTCAAGGCTGATTCTCAAACCACACACTCTGGCTTTTAAGTAAATTCTGAATTTTAAATAAATTTATCAAAGCTGTTTGCCCAATGACAGCCTTTGAAACTGGAGTTCTACCCTGGGGTGGTAGAGTGAGTGGAGTGGGGCTTCCTCAGGACCCACACCTGTCAGCTCAGTGTTGGGGGAGCTCAGGGTTGGAAGGGGGTGGGAGCACTGACAGGCTAGAGTACTGGTTTCTGTTCTGAGCAGTCTACTTAGGTCTCACGGACAGCAGACGGAGACATCAGTGATGATGATGGTCGCCTCCATATGAACAAGGTGGTTCTGTGAGTCTGCTAGTACTGCTGTAACAAAGTACTGCAAACTGAGTGGCTTAAACAACAAAAATGTATTGTCTAACACATTCTGTTCTGGAGGCTAGAAGGCTCCAGAGATCAAGGCGTTGGCATGACCTCACTCCCTCTGAAGCCACCGGGGAAGCATCTGTTCCAGGGTTTCCTTCTGGCAGTTCCTACTGTGGCAGCGTAGCTCCACTCTTCACAGGGCCTCTCCCCGTGTCTCTGTCTCTTCGTGGGTATGTTCTTGGAGGGACATCAGTCACATAAGGTTAGGGATAACACAACTCTAGTGACATTTGCACAGCCTTATTTCCAGATAAGGTCATATTCTATATTCTGAGGTCCTGGAATTAGGACTTTAACATGTGAATTTTGGAGGGGTGGGCACAGTTCAATCCGAAATAGGTGGCCATACATTTTTATTGTCCCGACTGGATCAGCTGTGTCAGTGAAAAAGAGTGCTGTTAATAATTGTTCCACGGTTGCTGGCACAGAGAATGCTTTAAACAAACCTGAATATTTGGTCCGAATATCTTGGAGATAGGTAAAGTTTATTCCATTTTTCAGAGGTTCACTAAGGTTGCATGGCTTCCGCAGAGTTACACCTAGAAGAGGATGAGCAGTATTCAGACTCAGAACAATCAGACTCTAGAAGAGGAGAAAAAGCTCATGTCTGTAGTGGAAATTTGTGCATTATGATACCAGCTAAAATAGGGAATTAATTTGTTTTGCCCCATTCTCTAAAATTCCTTAGCATTTGTTATCTCTTTTTCCTTGCTTAATCAGTTTTGGCTGTCATGAAAGAAAATAATTTGATGTGTTTTGTTAGATTTAATTCACGTAACCAACAACTATAAATCTTTGATTCTTTTATATTTTGCTGGCTATTCTGTTTGTATTTGGAGAGCAATCACACACATAAAGTTCTGTCGTTGATACAAAGAGAATAGCTATGAATATTAAGGTAATTTACTATTGCTAAAAATTTCTGAAACATCTTCACCAACAATTTTACTGTTTATCATGCTTTATCTGTAATCTATATTTATTTAATTGTTAATAGATAAGATGGAAATATTTTAGCATTCTTCTTATCACTAATGTAAAATGAATTTACATTGAAAAGTTACTTCCTTTTCATACTTTCTGAAGAAGGAAATAAAATTATCTGGACTTCTGGGATATAGTTACCTCCATGAGCATTAGCAACTTACTGTTTTCTTTTAGTGTTTTTTCAGTGAGTTTGCATTGTTAAAATTCAGTGATTAAGAAATCAATAAATGATAATTTCTGTTACTGCTTCTGTCACTGATGCTCTTACTATTATGGCTAATGTTATGAATATTTTTTTTGTTCTTGTTGTCAAGGAAAAAAATTCTAGAAATATCAGAGAACTGAAATTAATAAAGCTTAGAGGTTAGATGTAGGGAGAAGTAAGTAAAAAATGGCTATTTAAGTTTCTTATTTGGTAAGTGGATGAATGTGGTATAACTAATCAGGACAGGATACATAAGACACATAGGGTCAGAGGATAATGTTCATGAATGCTGAATTTTAATTGTTGGTGAAATATACTAATGAAGATACCCAGTGAGTATACAGATATCTCAAGATAGGAGCTCAACAGAGAGATGGAATGAAGATAAACACATACTATCATTTTAGGGTTAAAATAAGGTTATCTTTTCCTAGTTGTTCAAATGAATTGGACCCTACTAAGTCTTTACTTTTTTGTATGTATGAAAAGTCACACCTACCCAGGTTCACAACCATAATAAAGTCAAGAACTCTCAGTCGATTTACTTAGTGCAAAAGTTGATTTTGTCTCCCAGAAAAAAATTGGTAAGCCTAGATAGTAAAGAGTTCTGTTCCAATCTCTGCTGCCTTTGTTATTTTTCGGTTTTTCTTTCTTCCTCCTTGAGTGGTTGTCATTGTTTCACACTGTCCCCTTCAGAGAGAGTTCCGAGGGAGTGTCCTGGGTGTGTCTCAAGGAGAGGCTGGGGGAGTTGCTGAGCTGGAGACTCTGCCTCAGTTGTTGGCAGGTGATGTTACTGTCGACAAGGGTTCAGAGAGCAGGGCCAGTCCCCCTGTGCCCCAGGGCCTCCAGTCCCGGGAGCGTGGCTGGACGCTTTGTAAAGCACCTGGGCAGAGGTCAGGCAAGGCTGTGGTGAGAAGTGACCACTGGTTTAAGCCGCAGGAAGCTCCTTGTTGAGCTGATGGACACATTTACTGGCGTGACTCAAGTAGCCTGTGCTTGGATGAGACTGAGTGAGGATGAGGATCAGATGATATGTAAGGGAGCGGAGGACCAGCATATTGCTTGTCCAAAGGCCTGTCTCTGAGGGGAAGGGAAGACAGAAGTTTTACATGTACGGAAGGCACGTATTTATTGTATTGATGTCCGATTGCAGCTGGGGTCTGGCATCCTGTCGTGTAAGTACATTGTCACTTCTTCATACTAGTGATTTTCAGTTACTGTCCAATCTGAATAACTAAGCTTTGATGAGTGAATAGTTTCACATTTGTCCTGGAGATTAAATTTTGCTGTATTTTTTTTCTTTCTTTTTTTTTTTTTTTACATTATAACTTTTTAGAAAGTGTGAGGTGGATGAGTATGCTTGCTTGTTTAAAAAAAAATTGGGTTTACTGTTTTCTAGATAATAACCTCTAGATATAACCTCTTCTTAGTTATGATAGAAAGGATAAATCACTTATTATTTAGTTTAACCAGTTCTGTTTAACATATATCAAATTTATGAAATCCTTTTAAAACTCATAACCTTATTGAGGTAAAGTATGAAATCTTTTTTAAAAACAAAGTATCAGCGAAACAAAGATCCCTATTATGTTCAGTACAGTGACAGAACACATTGATGCAAAATCTTTTTAACAAATTCTTACAATTAGGAGATTTAATTTGGTCTCGAATATTAAAAGGAAAGGGCTTCCCTGGTGGCACTAGTGCTAAAGAACCTGCCTGCCTCCTCCAACTAATAAAAATAATTGGGAAAAAAATATATATATGTAAAAATAAAATGTAACTGCAAAAAAAAAAAAAAAAAGAACGTGCCTGTCAGATGCAGGTTCGATCCCTGGGTCGGGAAGATCCCTTGGAGGAGGAAACAGCAGCCCACTCCAGTAGTCTTGCCTGCAGACTCCCATGGACAGAGGAGCCTGGAGGGCTACCATCCATGGGGTCACAGGAGTCAAGACTTGACTGAAGGGTCTGAACAACGGGAGCGAGCTGGCTGCGGTAATTGTGGCTGGTGTCAGAGGGCAGGAAGTGCTGTGGCTCACTGCCTCTCCACGGGAGAGGGGAGAGGGGAAAGCTCCTCCTCTGCCCTGAGGTTCCCCTGGGGTCGCCTGGCCTGCCCCAGTCTCTTCGTGGCCATGCACAGGTGTTTGCGAAGGCCTGGTGCAGGAGGACTGATCGTACGTGCCTGCTTTGCTGCTGTAGACTTTTCTGACAGGAAGCCTGCCTTTATCTTGTAGGTGAGCGTCCCTATCAGTGCCCTTACTGTGAGAAAGGATTCAGTAAAAATGACGGCTTGAAGATGCACATTCGCACTCACACCAGGGTAAGATAATATTCTATCTTATTTCTTATACGATCCACACTTATTTTAAGATATTTAATTTTACCTGAGAAAGCAAAGGTGGTATATCTGAAACTTCATGCTTGTGGTGAATATTTGAGCATATCTTTTTTTTTAAAGATGTAACAATGAAAGAAGCAAAAATCCAAACCCCCAGAGCCTTCCCATTCTTTAAACTGTGAACTAGTTCTTAGGAGTAGCAGGAGTTACAACTGTCAGACAGCCCAGGAAGTGTGGCCGAGTGTGTGCCAGAAATGCAGATGCCAGCACTTCCGAACAGAGGTGCCCTGTCAGCGTGTGACTGTTAATTAACGTATGCGAGCTGGTATGCTTGCAGGGAAGATGTTGGAGACAGTCTGAATTCCCGTGGGAGGTGGCTCTGCAGGGAGTGCCCCGTGCCGTCCTTCCTTCTTTTTCCAGGGATGCGCTCTGTGCTTCTGCTGTGAGCACCTCTCACCGGATCCTTGTCATCCTGTGACGTACAGCGTGTTCAGACCCCAGTGTCTGCGTCACGTGCTGGAAAGAAAGCAGAGCAGCTCACCCTCTATCTAGCTGCCTTTCTTAGCTCACTGTTCAGTTGAGGACACAGACTTTGCGTGGACTTCCCACTTGAACATTTGATGTTTTTAAATAGCTCTTGATTTTGCTATATCCATCTTTTTCATTGCTAACCTTTCACACAGTTCTTTTCAGTTTGGCCTTTTAAAAGTGCTTATGGTCTGTACATAAATGCCAAATTTTTTCAGATTTTGAGAGACGTGCCTAATCCCCTTAAGAGCAATTCTAATTTAGCCTTATCCTGAATTCCATTTTTTTACCTTAGCTGTAAAATAAGAACTTTAGAGGAAACAAATAATAATAATATCCTTGCCAGTGTAATAGTATTCCAGCTTTCCACTTTAGTTTTGTAGGCTATAAAAGATAACCTCTGAGGTCCTGTTAAGAAAACACTCCTCTCGTGTTTGTGGTGGAGGAGGGAGGCAGCTTCTGTGCTCACTAGGGCAAATCCACATTGGGTTTCTCATTCTGATTTAAAATATAATACTTATATTTTGTGGATATTTTGAACTGGAGTAACTGCTAGGTACTCCCTTCACTAACACAGTGAAGGGTTAGATAAATATTACTCCTCTTAATATGACTTACGTACATATCCAAGTATTTATTACATAGTGAGCACTATTAAAGAGATTTAATGTTGTTTAGGAGGTTATTTTATGTATGTACAGTTGTCACAATAGTGCCAATAATGTGTTTTAGACCAGAGCAAAGGAGTGCTGATTCCTTTTATTAAAACTCATGATGCTAACCAAAATCTTGGCCTTATGAGTGCATGTTAAACTGTTTTACAATGTTATACCTCAGAAAAGGATGTTTGAATTCAGGGGAAAAGTACCTTTTGGGTGTTCTCAAGAATGGACAATATTTCCAGTTCAAATAATATGGTTTTTGCTTTGTTTATTCATGAGAATTATGCTAATAGTTAAATACAAAGGCCAGTAATCACGTCAGGCACTATATTCTAGGTGTTCACGTTTATTGATTCATGTAAGCTTCACAACAGTTCGTTAATGCATTCAGCCTCAATGAGGTAGGTATTATTATGATCTCTTCTTTTTAAAATATATTTATTTTTAATTGAATGATACTTGCATCACAGTGTTGCATTGGTTTCTACCAGACGTGAATCAGCCATAGGTTTGCCCGTGTCCCCTCTCCCTTGAGCAGCCCTCCCACCTCGCTCCCTACCCGAACCCTCTAGGTGGTTACTGCGCCCGCTTTGAGCTCCTGAGTCACACAGCACGTTCTGTCTGTCTGTCTGTTTTACACCCAGTGAAGTACGTTTCCCTGTCACTCTCTGCCCCCCACCCTCTCCTCCCCTGCCCTCCTGTGTCCGTGGGCCAGTTCTCAATGTCTGCGCCTCCACTGCTGCTCTGCAAAGAGGCTCATCAGTACCGTCTCTCAGGGTCCCATGTGTATGCATTAGTGTACGATAATTGTTTTTCTCTTTCTGACTTACTTCCCCCTGTATAATAGGCTCTAGGTTCATCCACCTCATGAGGACTGGCACGAATGCCTGCCTTTTTATGGCAGGGTGATATTCCATTGTATGTATGTACCACAGCTTCTTTACCTGTTTCTCTGTCAGTGAGCACCTAGGTTGCTTCCATGTCCCAGCTGCTGTGAAGAGAGTCGCAGTGAACGTTGGGTTACATGTGTCTTTTTCAGTTTTGGTTTCCTCAGGGTGTATGCCTAGGAGTGGGAGGCCTAGTAGTATATGCCTAGCTGGGTCATATGGTGACTTTATTCCTAATTTTTTAAGGAATTGCCATACTGTTCTGTGTAGTAGATGTATCAATTTGCATTCCCACCAACAGTGCAGGAGGGTTCCCTTTGCTCCACACCATTTCCAGCATTTATTGTTTGTAGATTTTATGATGATGGCCATTCTGACTGGTGTGAGATGATACCTCATTGTAAATTTGATTGGCATTTCTCTTAATAATGAGTGATGTTGAGAATCTTTTCATGTGTTTGTTAGCCATCTGTGTGTCTTTGGAGAAAGGTCTGTTTAGGTCTTTTGCCCATTTTTTGATTGGTTGTTTGTTTTTCTCATATTGACTTGTATGAACTGCTTGTATATTTTGGAAATTAATCCTTTTTCAATTGTTTCATGTGCTATTATTTTCTCCCATTCTGAGGGTTTTCTCCTTGTTTATAGTTTGCTTTTCTGTGCAAATCTTCTAAATTTAATTAGGTCCCACTTGTTTATTTTTGTGTTTATTTCCATAACTCTAAGAGGTGGGTCATAGAGGATCTTGGTGTGATTTATGTCATCGAGTGTTTTGCCTATGTTTTCCTCTAGGAGTTTTATAGTTTATGACCTTACTAGGTCTTTAATGCATTTTGAGTTTATCTTTGTGTATGGCATTAGGAAGTGTTCTAATTTCATTCTTTTACATGTAGCTCTCCAGTTTTCCCAGCACCACTTATAAAAGAGACTATCTTTGCCCCATTGTATATTCTTGCCTCCTTTGTCTAAAATAAGATATCCATAGGTGCTTGGGTTTATCTCGGGGCTTTTAATCTTGTTCCACTGGTTTCTGTCTTTGTGCCAATACCATACAGTCTTGATGACTGCAGCTTTGTAGTATAGTGTAAAGACAGCAAGGTTGATTCATCCAGCTTCATTCTTCTTTCTCAAAATTGCTGTATCTATCCGGGATTTTTTGTGTTTCCATATGAATTGTGAAATTTATTGTTCTAGTTCTGTGAAAAATGCCATTGGTAATTTGATAGGGATTGCATTGAACCTGTAGATTACATTTGGTAGCATAGTCGTTTTCACAGCCCAGGAATCTGGAATCTCTCTTCATCTATTTATGTTGTCTTTAATTTCTTTCATCAGTATCTTATAGTTTTCTGTATACAGCACTTTTGTCTCCTTAGGGAGGTTTATTCCTAGGTATTTTATTCTTTTTGTTGCAATGTTAAATGATATTGATTCCTTAATTTCCCTTTCTCATATTTCATTGTTAGTTTATAGGAATGCAAGTGATTTCTGTGTATTGGTTTTATATCCTGCTACTTTGCTAAATTCACTGATTAGCTCTAGTCATTTTCTGATGGTATCTTTAGGGTTTTCTATATATACTATCGTATCAGCTGCAAATGGTAAGAGCTTTACTTCTTCTTTTCTAATCTAGCTTTCTTTTGTTTGTTTTCCTTCTCTAATTGCCATAGCCAGGACTTCCAAAACTATGACAAATAATAGTGGTGAGAGTTGGCACCCTTGTTTTGTTCATGACCTTAAAGGGAATGCTTTCAGTTTTTCACCATTGAGAATAATGCTTGCTGTGGGGTTATCATATATGGTCTTTATTATGTTGAGCTAGGTTCCTTCTATACCCATTTTTGAACAGTTTTTTATATCATATATAAGTGTTGAATTTTGTCAAAAGCTTTTTCTGCATCTGTTGAGATTATCATATGGTTTTTGTCTTTTGGTTTGCTAATATGGTGTATCACATTGATTTGCATATATTGAAGAATCCTTGCATCACTGGGGTAAACCCAACTTAATCATGGTGTGTGATCTTTTTCATGTGCTGTTGAGCTCTGTCTGCCAGAATTTTGTTGAGAATTTCTGCATACATGTGCGTCAGTGATGCTGGCCTGTCATTTTCTTGCTTTGTGTAGTCTTTGTCTGGTTTTGGTGTCAGAGTGATGGTGGCTTCATCAAATGAGTTCAGAAGTGTTCTTTCCTCTGCAATTTTTGGAAGAGCTTTAGAAGGATAGGGATTAGTTCTTCTCTAAATGTTTGATAGAATTCACCTGTGAAGCCATCTGACCCTGGGCTTCTTTTGGGGGGGAAATTTTTGATCACATTTCAATTTCTGTGCTTGTTACTGAATTGTTAATAATTTCTATTTTTTCCTGATTCAGTCTTGGAAGATAGAACTTTTCTAAGAATCTGTCCATTTTTTCCAGGTTGTACATTTTATTGGCATATAGTTGTTTGTAATAGTCTCTTATGATCCTTGGTATTTCTATGTTGTCTCTTATAACCTCTCCTTTTTCATTTCTAATTTTGTTGATTTCATTCTTCTTTTTTTCCCTGATGAGTCTGGCTAATGGTTTGTCATTTTTTTTATCTTCTCAAAGAATCTGCTGTTTGTTTTCTTAATCTTTACTGTCTTTCCTTCTTTCTTTTTCATTTATTTCTTCTCTGATATTTATGATTTCTTTCCTTCTACTAACTGGGTTTTTTTGTTGTTTTTATTGTTCTTTTTCCAGTTGTTTTAGGTGTAAAGTTAGGTTGTCTGTTTGATGTTTTTCTTGTTTCTAGAGGTAGGATTGTATTGCTATAAATGTCCCTCTTAGAACTGCTTTTGCTGCATCCAGTAGGTTTTGAGTTGTGTTTTCATTGTCATTTGTTTCTAGGAATTTGTTGATTTCCCTTTTGATTTCTTTAGTAACTG